ACACATAACACATAATTTTATTGTTTATTTAGGTTAGTGATCATGAAACTGGTGGATTATCACTTGCACTTCAAACTACTCACAAATATCCTGAATATGGATGGTATCCAGAAGTGTTAACTAAGGTTAAAAATTCATCGTTTGTCCTCTCAGAAGAAATTGAGAAATATTCAAAGGCTGATCGTAAAGACTATATTAAAAAGCTTCTTGAAAATAGCTTGGGTATTATAGATTATACACAGGAGGATATTGAATATTTGAACCAAAATCAACTCCAATTAGATTATGAATTATATTTGTCTAATATGACTAGTCACAGAGCTGAATTAGGGGTATTTAATCATAATTGATTAATTTGGAGGTCCTTTCAAAAATTTTCCCATTTAATATTTTTATTTAATAATAGTGGGCAACTCATGGACATTCTGGTGTTGATGTTAATTTGTATGCATATGGTGATAATGTTGATTATTTATATGGAAATCATGAGGTAACATACATTTATTCATAATAAGATAGGATATATTTATATGGTATACTTACAATTGTAACTATATAAATTTGTATCAGAACACTGATATTGGTGAATTTATTATTAATTATCTTGGTTTGGATCTTAATGGTATAACTTTGAAATTAAACAAGTTAGTATCTTTATTTTATTTATTTTTGTTATTATCAATCATTGTTATTATTTATTAATTGGTTTCTTTACTTCTAATGTTTGTAGGAATATGAGTAAGTATTTCACCATCTCAATTATTTTATCATTTAAATTCAAATTACTAACTAAATATTTTTCTTCTCATCTTCCAGCTTTCCACTTGGAAAGAAATTTTACAGCAGCATCTAATATGAAATTAATTCATCATCATCATCATCACAATTAACATGGCAGTATGATAGTGAGTGAATGCTGTTTTCCTTTCTAGTTGATAATACACATACATATATACATATAAGATATTATTTAGAAAAAAATTTGTTATTAAATAATATTACATCCAAAATTTGCTTTTTTTTTTATAATAAAATAATAAATAAATAATAACAAAAAGAATAACAAGAATAACGAGTGACGTTTATTCATTCACCATGTAATGATACTTTCTTATATTGATAATAAAAAGACTAATGTTAAAATTCCGATGACCAGATGAGTAAAATTTATTCATCTAATATAATCAAGTTCATTTGAAGAGAATCTATAAAACATTGATAAATAGAAATATCATTAATATTAAGTTTAATATTAAACAAGTAATTAAATAACAATTACCAATGATTGTGAATTAACAGGCTGAGGAAGATTGTAAAACTCAATAATCTGCTTGCATTTGGATGAACAGTTGTTGTAATTGTTCAAATATTATTCTCATCATTCTTAATTTATCAAGCTGTTCTTTCGGAATAATTAGGTTCAGAATTTCATCATCATTCTGCTGTTAGTTTTTTTTCCAGGATCACCATTTGTGCATTCCCAATATAACATTTTGGGAGTATTATCCAAAAAATTAGGCCTCAGACCTGATTACAAGAGCATGATCATGTGACTGATCTTTGAATGGTCGTTGACCTGTTGATGATATCTATGACAGTAAAATCCCAAAGTTACATATGGGTGTCAGATTTTTGTGTATATATAAGGTTCCCATTTAAAACCTATGGTGCAACATATGACAGTGCTCTTCATATTATATACCATTTTTATTTAATAATTCTCAATCAACTAAACCTAATAACCTTAAATCTACAATTATCATAAATAGAAAAATGTAAAAGATTACCACTGTGAAGACCATGATGTAGAAGTCCTTTACAATGAATGATGATGTCTAAACCTAAGATAATACTATAAAGCATTGTAATTCCATAATCGTTCCATTTTGGATGTTTTATAGAACTCTGATTTTATATATAATATACAAGTCACTCCTGTTATAACGACAAGCAAAAAAAAAAAGTCGGTATAACGAGATCGTCATTATAATGGGAGAATCATTATCGTATGATTTTATAATGTTATTTTTATTATAATTATCAGTTTTTTACATTGTATTGATCATTTATTAAAATTACGCCGATGCAGGGACAATGATTTTCTGCATAGTGCAGAAATCATGAATAAAAACGGAAATTACTATAATAATGATGTACCGCAGAATACTGCAAATAATATAAAAATAAGATTAGGTTTTTTATAATGAATAATAAAAGAAGAAAAGGTACAGGGACAACAATTACAATCAATACTAGAGTAGAAGAAAATCCTGATGAATTTCGCATTGATAATAGAATTTTATTTTGTAATTTTTCTGACCATTCTGTTAATTTGGGTACGAAAGTCAACGGTTGATGCCCAGCAAAACACATAAAGCTAAGGAAAATCTGCATGAAAATAAACAACAACAAACGCTTGATGCCTCTCTTTCTTCTTCTGAATCTAAAGAAAATGAATGGGCAATTTATTGTGGGTCCAC